TTGCACTTGGCCACATTGAACCCCATTTGCCATGTTGACGTCCACTCGCCCATCCTCGACAGATTCCTTTGGAGTGCCTCACAATCCTCACTGGTTTTCACCACCCTGAACAACTTCGTGTCACCTTCAAATTTAGCCACTTCACTGCTTACTCCCAACTCCAAATCATTAATGAACAAGTTAAAAAGCATCGGACCGAGTACTGATCCTTGCAGTACTCCACTGCTTTACCACCCTCCACTGAGAAAATTGCCCATTTATACTCACTCTCTGTTTCCTATTAATCAGCCAGTTTTTGATCCACAAAAGGACTTGTCCTTTTATCCCATGACTATTGAGCTTACTTAGGAGCCTTTGATGAGGAACTTTATCAAAAGCTTTCTGGAAGTCAAGGTAAACAGCAACTATTGGGTCCCCCTTGTCCACATGTTTGTTCGTTCCCTCAAAGCACACTAACAGGTTAGTGAGACAAGATCTTCCCTTATAGAACCCATGCTGAGTCAACCTCAATAGTTTTTGTTCATCTATGTGCCTATTAATTCTTTCATTAATAATAGTTTCCACCTACTTACCCGGTATTGAAGTCAGACTGACTGGCCTGTAATTTCCCGGATCTCCTCTGGAACCCTTTTTAAAGATGGGAGTGATGTTAGCTACCTTCCAGTCCTCAGGAATGGAGGCAGATTTTAATGAAAGATCACATATTTTTGTCAGGAGATCCACAAGTTCCTATCTTCTTACATACGTGGCATTCAGCAGTCTTGCTGGACATTTTGCCTTCTGTGCATGCTTTCCCCCCCACAGTGCATACACCTAAAGTCCTGCTGTTGAAAGACTGGTTTTGTGGTTGGTGGTGGTATCTCTGGCCTGGCTATCGCCATCTCCTGATCCCTTGGGAATGCTTGGAGAAAGGTGGCTTTTAGCTACTTCCTGGAGCCCTTTCGAGAGGGGTTATGAACTTGGGTTTTATCAATTTTGAATGTATCATTTTTATTGTCCCTTCCAGGGTAAGCTTACTTTCTATCTGCAATGTCTGGGATAAATCTTTGTCTAAAATGTCCACTACAAGTCTATCCCTAACAGTGATATTTTTGTGGTCTCCAAACTCGCAGGCATCTGCTTGCTCATGCAGCAACCTTATGCATGCCTCTGCATATTACTCTTGGTTTCTGGTTTCATTGGTGATAGCAGGCCCTTTCATGGATGGGGTTCTTCTTAGGCACAAAATATTTATCATATTTTCCCAGGACTAAGAGATCTTTATTCATGCCCCTGTCATCAGCAAATATACAAGAGTTAAATATGTGCTCTCCTTGTGGTCCTGTGACATAAATTAAGGGACATACCTGAATGTCTTCTGCATTTGCAGTCAGTTTTGTAGCATCCCTGTATCTGGAGAAATGTCATCCTGAAGGTCTACTAAAGCCAAAGGCTTCTGATGGACAACGCTTTGCCATGCTAGGCCTCATTTCCCTTTCTTCTGTGTTCTTTGATTGATAGCTCAAGGAGAACCCTTCTGCCACATTAGGGTCTCTAGGGAGTGGTTCTGACTTCTGACATCATGTCAGGTTACCCCAGAGCCTCTGTAACTTTTTAAATACAAACAGAACACCTTTCCTTCTTTAGGTTCCTTCTAGGGTTGCCAAGTCTACTTACCTTGGCGGCGGGGAAGCCTCGCCTGGCTCCGGGAGCTCTCAGGCGATGTGCGCGCATATGCGCGAAGCGCGCGCGTGCCGCCAACACGTCACAGGAAGTGATGTGCTACATTGCTCACATTGAGGACGTGGCCACAATCGTTGGAGGGAAAACCATAGAGTTTTCCCTCCGATGATCAGGGCCACGCCCCCAACGTGAGCAACGTGGTTGCATCACCTCCAGTGACGCAGCCACGCTGTGCTTCGGGGGGCGGAGTTCCCCCCGGGGCCCGATTCCACGGCGGCGGAAATCGGGCCTCCAAAGCGGGGGTTTACCCGCCACCCGCCCCCACTTGGCAGCCCTAGTTCCTTCTCAGTGTAGTTTCTGCTTCCCCCCAGACTCTCTGTTAGGACTTCTGGCTCCCCCCCCCCCCCCTTCCCTTGCCCCGTTGC